GGCGCCGCTCAGCTGCTTGTGCACCTTTTTCTTCAACACTTTTCCCTTCCACATAACTTTCTATTAATGTGCTTTGATACAGCACTTTGGGAACATCCAACTTCTTTTGCAATTACCTTTTGAGGCTTTCCCTCCTTTGGAGAGTGTCAATGATGGTTTTCTGCACAACTGTCAGGTCAGCAGTCTTTCCCATGATTGTGATTCCTACTGAACCAGACTGAGAGACCATTTAAAGGCTCAGGAACCCTTCGCAGGTGTTATGTCTTAATTATCTGATTAGAGTGGGACACTTTGAGCCGAGAATATTGCACCTTTTCACAATAGTCTCATTTTCTGAGATTGTGGATTTGGGGTTTTCATGAGCTGTAAGCCATAATCATCACACTTATGACAAATCACGGCTTGAACTATCTTGCTTTGCATGTAATGAGTCTATCTCATATATTAGTTTCACCTTTTAAGTTGCATTACTGAAATAAATGAACTTTTGCACGATATTCTAATTTTTCGAGTTTCACCTGTGTATATATATATAAGATTAGGGGCAACTTTTGTCTAGAAAAGTGAACTCAACTGAAAATACATGTTTTCAACAATTGACTCTTGCTTCATTACCTTTTTAGCAATATTATGTATAATACTAGTTTTCCTGTCATTCTTCTTGCTATTCATTTTTTTCTATTATACAGTATGAGATTTTTGTCTCTGTGCTCTTAGCATACTTTACTGTCATTTGCATTTCTGTCTTTTAGTATTCTCAATGGACCAGACTCACTAAAGCTCAATCTGGCTAGGATGTAAAAATCAGACTTTTAAATGCATCAAAGTCACAACATCCATGCCATAACTGCATTCAGAATATTGACACCAAATTGGGCTGTATTAAATTATACTGTTAAAATAATCTACATGTTTAAAAATGTCCCTCTCTTCTCAGTTTTTATGTTCAATACTAATATAGCAAGATAATAGAATATGTATTAGAATGTCTGGAGAGTTTACAATTATTTCTGTGAAGGATTGGAAGGATCACTAGTGAAGGAATGAAGAGAGGACTGAAGGAAGGGAAAGAAAGGGATAGAGAAAGAAATGAAAAAAGTTCAAAAACATATGAGAAGTAAGAAAGGGATGGAGTAAAAAAAAAAGAGGACAATGAGGGATGAGATACAGCAATGTAACACTTTTGCAATAGCTATTGCTTGGCAATGAGTCAGATTGAAGCATCTAACTGCAGGAAACATTTTTCTCAACCAGAGTTTTGTGAACCTCCAGAGGTTGCTAGGGGGGTTCTTGGGCAATTTCTGCCTCCCAAAAAACATGGATGATGATTTCAACTATCTGAAAGAGGGTATTGTTCTCCCTATCTACTAATGTGCAGAGCATTATTTCCATTGACCACCAAATTAAGGTGACATTCTTCCCATTGAACACCAATGTAAGGGGGAATTCTTTCCATTGACCACCAAGGTAAGAAGCATATTTCCAACCAAACAACAATGTAAGGGGAACCTTTTCTTTTATTACCACAAATGTAAGGTGACCCTTACCCCACTGACCGATATAATGGAGCATTTCACTGACCACTAATGTAAGGAGGCACTTTTCTATGGCCCGCAAATGTGAGGAAAATCAGTTTTTTTATAGTCTGTATTTGTTTTGTTGTATAGAACAGCTCTAGTATTTGAAAAAAAATGCCTTTATTAAATAACAACTTGCCTACCAGGCACTTATACCCCCTTATTTACCAGGCCAATTTTCAGCTTTCAGTGCTGCCACACTTTGATTGACAATTGCGCGGTCATGCAACATTGTACCCATATGAACTTTTGATCATTTTTTTCTCACAAATAGAGCTTTCTTTTGGTGGTATTTAATCGCCATTGGGCACTTTACTTTTTGCGCTATAAATAAAAAAGGTGCAAAAAATTTGAAAAAAAAAAAGTTTCTTTGTTTCTATTATAAAATTTTTCAAACAGGTAATTTTTTTCTCCTTCACTGATGTGCGTTGATGAGGCAGCACTGATAGGCGGCACTGATGGGCACTGATAGGCAGTACTAATGAGGTGGCACGGATAGGCGGCACTGATAGACAGCACTAATGAGGTGTCACGGATAGGCGGCACTAATATGCAGCACTGATAGGCGGCACTGATAGGTGACACTGATGATGGGTACTGATAGATGGCACTGACTGGCATCACTGCTGGGCACTGACTGGCAGCACTGACTGGCACAACCCGCTGGGCACTGACTGGTGGCACTGACTGGCAGCACTGCTGGGCTGCACTGGTAGGTGGCACTGGTGGGCAGCACTGGTGGGTGGGCACAGGTGGGTGGCACTGGTGGGCACAGGTGGGTGGGCACAGGTGGGTGGCACTGCTGGGCACAGGTAGGTGGCACTTCTGGGCACAGGTGTGTGACACTGCAGAGTGGCACAGGTGGATGCACTGCTGGGCACAGGTGGGTGCACTGCTGGGTACAGGTGGGTGATCTGCTGGGCACAGGTGGGCGGAGTTCGTGGGCGCACTGCTGGGCACAGGTGGGCGGAACTTGCGGGTGGCACTGCTGGGCACCGATCATCAGGGCACTGATCATCAGTGCCCTGATGATCGGTGCCGATCCTCGCTCTGACAACTGCCGGTTCTCGGCAGTACTTTCCTCACGATCTGACAGCATGAGGAAAGTGCAGCCGAGAACCGGCACTTGCATTTCCCTCTGATCAGCGTGTCATTGGACACCGCTGATCAGGTGGTAAAAGGCCGCTGTGATTGGCCTTTTACCACATCACGTGATCAGCTGTGTCCGTAGGACACAGCGATCACGGAGATCGCCGGGTGCGCGCGTCCTGGGGCGCGCAGGAGAGCGCGTTCTGGTGGGACGTCATATGACGTCCACCCAGAACTGGCCGGCCGCAGTGCAGCCGTCATTCGGCTATCTGCGGTCGGCTACTAGTTAAATTCCTAAAAATTAAAGCAGAACTTCACTGCATCTGAGCACCACTAGCCAAAAACTCTGTTTAATTTGTTTTTAGTATTCAAAGCAAACTCCCCCCATCCATCCATGTCTCCATGCCTTTTTTTGCTGATAAATCATGTTGAAAAACACCCCCTAGCATGGCCATCTTGAGTAAGGGCGGATGATTAAGGGTTCATGTCAATGCATTCTGAGCAGTTTATATGCTAATTATTAGCAGGAGTTCCCTGAGACCTGAAAGTTGTTTCAAGGTTTCCTTCATGTTAAAGCATTATTTAAGCAATAATCAACATGTATTCATGCAGGACTGAAGTTGTCAATCAAATCTTATTTCTTTCTATGAGGATATAAGCAAAAACATAGACAAAGTAGTGGCTGTCGATATAGTATAATAGGACTTTGCAAAAGTATTTTACACAGTTCTCCACACATGGCTAATGTGTAAGGTAAAGTCTACAGGCTTAGAAAATGCATTTTGTTAATAGATCAAAAAACTGATTAAAAGACTGTATTCATAGTGATTAGGGATTCATACTTTGAATGATCTAAAGTTATTAGTGGTGTACCCCAAGGTTCAGTATTAAGACACTTATTTTTTTACATATTTATAAAGGATATAGAGTTTGGGATTGAAAGTACCATTTCTGTGTTTGCAGATGACACCAAGCTATATATAGTTGAAAAATAGTCCTTACAGGATGTCTCCAACTTACAGGCAGACCCTAATGCACAGTCTGATTGGGCAACTATGTGGCAAATCAGGTTGAATGTTGATAAATTTAAAGTATTGCACTTGATTGCTGTAAAATTGCATGTATCTTACATCTTAGGAGGAGAACAATTGAGGAGGTCAATGGTCAAGAAGGATCTGGGTGTTCTGGAAAATAGTAGACTAAAAAACTGCAGCTTGGCATTGCATACTATTAAAGGAACCAAAATACTTTCTTGTATTAAAAGTGGTTGAGATTTCAGATAGCCCTTATGTTGCCCCTCTAAAAATTATTAGTAATGCCTCATCTGGAATATGCCTTTCTGTTTTTGGCACCAGTTCACAAAATGGATACTGGGGAATTGCATAAAGTGCAGAGAAGGCCAACCAAACTGATAAGTGGCATGGAGGAACTCAGCTATGAGAAAAGATTAGCTGAACTAAATTAATTCTCTGTTAAAACTAGGAGATTAAGGGGGATGTGCTCGCCATGCATAAATACATAAGTGGTCCGTATAGTGATTTAGTGTAGCCTTTATCATTTTAAGGTACCGTATTTTCCGGCATATAAGACGACTTTTTAACCCTTGAAAATCTTCTCAAAAGTCGGGGGTCATCTTATACGCCGGTATACGGCGTGCAGACACTTGGTATCAGGGCGGCACTTTTTAGGGGAGCGGCGCGGTGCCGCCACCGCCCCCCCCTTCCAACGGAAGGGACACTAAGTAAAGGGGTGGTCAGGGGGCTGCTGTTTCTTACTTGGCTCCGGTCCCAGTCCCACGACGATCCAGTCCAGGAAGCGCGGCTGCTCCTTCATTCAGTCCGCGCGGCCGCTCGGCTCCGCCTCCTCACCGGTGATTGGCCGCCAGAACTGTAGCTCAGGAAAGGCACACAGGCGGCCAATCACCGGCGAGGAGGCGGAGCTGAGCGGCCCCCGTGAAAATCGAATGAGGGAGTGGCCAGTAAGTGTGCCGTGCAGAGGTGCTGCTGCAACCACATATGCTGGCTGCAGCAGCACCATACTGGAACAGGGGTCAGCAAGTGTCATTGGTGTCAGTGGGAGGAATAGTGCCCCATCATTGGTGTCACTGATAATAATGATGGGGCATTATTCCTCCCACTGACACCAACGATGGGGCACTATTCCTCCCCCCACTGACACAAATGATGGGGCACTATTCCTCCCCCCACTGACACCAATTATGGGGCACTATTCCTCCCCCCCCACTGACACCAACGATGGGGCACTATTCCTTCTCCCCACTGACACCAACGATGGGGCACTATTTCCCCCCCCACTGACACCAACGATGGGGCTCTATTCCACCCCCCACTGACACCAACGATGGGGCACTATTCCACCCCCCACTGACACCAACGATGGGGCACTATTCCTCCCCCCCACTGACACCAACGATGGGGCTCTATTCCACCCCCCACTGACACCAAGGATGGGGCACTATTCCACCCCCCACTGACACCAACGATGGGGCACTATTCCTCCCCCCCCACTGACACCAACGATGGGGCACTATTCCAACCCCCACTGACACCAATGATGGAACACTATTCCTTCCCCCACTGACACCAATGATGGGGTGCTATTCCTCCCACTGACACCAATGATGGGGGGCTATTCCTCCAACTGACACCAATGATGGGGCACGATTCCTCACTCTGACACCAATGATGGGGCACTATTCCTCCCACTGACACCAATGGTGGGACACTATTCCTCCCACTGACACCAATGATGGGGCATGATTCTTCCCACTGACACCAATGATGGGGCACTATTTCTCCCACTGACACTGATGAAGTACTATTCCTCCCACTGACACTGACACTAATGATGGGACACTATTCCTCACACACTGACACTAATGATGGGGCACCATAATGAATAGTGCCCCATCATTGGTGTCAGAGTGAGGAATCGTGCCCCATCATTGGTGTCAGTGGGAGGAATAGTGCCCCATCATTGGAATACCATACTGAAATACCATACCATATTGAAATCAAATCTGATGTTTTTTTTTAATTTTTTATTTGGTGTGCGTTGGAAGAGGGGTAGTCTTATACAGCGAGTATAGCCCAAATCCTATATTTTAACAGAAAAAGTAGGGGGTCGTCTTATACGCCCAGTCGTCTTATATGCCGGAAAATACGGTAATTATAAAGAATAGGTGGGCACTCTTTACATCTGAAAGGAAATTAACCTCAACGTATAGAAAGACTTCTTAACATTAAGGACTGTAAAAATGTGGAATAGACTTACTCAAGAGCTAGTTCTGCCAGTTTAGTAGACTATTTTAAAAAAGAGTGGGATGCATTCCTAAATACACAAAATATAAGGGTACATTACCATCTAAAGGTAATAACACCAGAGATCGGTTGATGGGAATCAGAAAATAATTTATTTTTCCCAAACTGGAGCAAATTGGACCAGGTTTTAATAGGGGATTTTTGTCTTCCTCTGGATACTACCAAGGGTATAGGATTCTGATTGTGGAGGTTTTCTATTCATTGATTCTATTCATTTTTATTTGCTGTTGGTTGAACTAGATGGACTTGTGTCTTTTTTTTTAACCTGACTAAATATATAACTATGTGTCTATAAGAAAAAGGTTGAGAAAGGATGAATTCTTATTTATTTTACACCGAATCAGGTTTATTTTTCTCACATTTTTGTACCATTTATAAAGTGTTCATTCAATACAATGCAAACAGAGTAGAATGTGTTTTCTGTATTTGTAATGCAATTGAGCTAAACATAATTTGAGCAATAATTAGCTGTAAAATTACCTCGCTGCATCTAATAATAGAAAATAAAATTACATTTCAATTGAATTGCACTTTACATCTTTGGGCTCACACTTCGGTAATAAAGCAATTAATTAAATGAAACAGAAGTGTGTTATAAAATGAAAGAACTTAAAAAGATAAATTTAAAAAATAGACTTGGCCTACTAGGAAATAAGGACAAGGTCTTTGAGCCCGGACATTTAAAGTAACTTTTCCTTTGGAGCAATTATCATTAGGTTGACATTTCTGGGCACTTTCTATTCAGTCCTATGGAGAGTTTTTACTCTATTCTCTGGCTGAGTATAAACTCTCAGTAGGACTGAATGGAGATCGCACAACGAATGCACGTGCCCAGCTCAGTGACTTTGACAAGTGACTTTGTGACCTTGTTGAATATATCTTACTGGTCTGGGGACACTTGAGTGTAAGACTGGCGGGGGAAGCTTCCATACAACTGTTGCAGTTTAATATAACAGGCTGTTCTAGCAGAGACTGAGTGTTATTTTGCACATCAGAACTCCTGCACTCTACTTTCCAGCCTTGTTTGGCTGCCATAGTGTACCTAGACTGCCAGACACAAATAAAATGGTGTGTAATATTATATGAATGTTCCGGAACCTGTCAATCATCACCTCTTGACACAAAGCCAATTCACTGCGGTTTCTTGGATGGTACAGAACGTTTACCCTCACACCACACAACTGTAGAAAGTAGATAAGCTTTTGTTTCTGTCCAAAGGAAAAATGGATTATCTATGCACTAGACTACTACATAGTCAATCACAAAATCCATTTGGGACCATAAGAGAGCTTCAATATTGCCCACAAGACAACAAGTAACAAATTTCTGGGACAATCCAAATAAAACACAAAATTCAAATTCAATTTAAATTATGTCTATTTTATGCTTTTGAAAGCACTAATATTTAAGTGGTTACTTTTTTTAGAGCGCAGAGTCTGCCCAGTGATTTTGGAAAGGTCATAGACTCGTGTCCTGGAATTGGTAGATGTGTACAGTAAGCTGCTGCATGTGTCCTTCCAGCCAATCCCAAGCAGGCAGAAGCTGCTGGGGTAACAGCTCTGAGGTGAGCTTAGTGACCCTGTCTCCTCAGATCTATTCCTGCATAAAACATCCCTATGGAAGGCACCTCCATTCTAGTTGCCCACCCAAGATGGGATGATGCCTGGAGAAGTGCCATGGGTCCTGTTTGACACCTCCCAGGGAGTAAGAAAAGAAATTGTGATGCCTTGGTGTGAAACAATAGATTTTTCTGACAAATGAAGGATGTATCTGCCATGTACCTGCCATGTAACAGTTAGATAAAAATGCTTTGGGCTCAACATAGCTAAGAAACAATCTATATGAATGTTTGTAACTAGAAAAAGATTCTATAAACTCGCACTGCATACTGTATATCTTCTTAAACACTTGACTTTCGAAAGGTTTTACCCCTTTCATGACCAGGGCATTTTTTGCTATTCAGCACTGTGCTAGTTTAACTAGCAACTGCACGGTCATGCAACACTGTTCACAACTGAAATTTATATAATTTCTTTTCACATAAATAGAGCTTTCTTTTGGTGGTATTTCATCACCACTTGGTTTTTTATATTTCATTAGATTACATTTCTTCATAAATTTAGGCCAAAATGTATTCTGCTACATGTCTTTGGTAAACAAATCTCAATAAGTATATTAACTGGTTTGTGCGAAAGATATATGGCACTAGCTGATGCTGGCTGGGAGGTACAATGACTAAAGGTATAGCATCTACAAACTATTGTATAGCTGCATACTGGAAGTTATGCAGCTATGATGCTATACTGGTAATGTTGGTGATCAGCAACTTATAGTGGGACTGTGATAATGTGGCAGGTAATCTGGCACTAGCTGATGCTGGCTGGGAGGTACACTGACTAACTGGCATCAATAGTAACACTAATACAGTGATCAGTGCTAATATTGTTCACTGTCACTGTATTAATGACACTGGCAGGGAAAGAGTTAACATCCAGGGACAGTCAAGGGGTAATTGTGTGCCTAACAATGTGTAATCTGTGTAATATTGTATGTGCTGCTTTCGCTTTGCTATCTGGCTGTCTTTTCCCCTGCTTTGCAGAGAAAAAAAGCCAGAATGCTGTTCCCTGTACATAGAGTTCTGTGATTTGTAAACACAGAACTCTGTGTGTGATTGGACACAGCTGGTCAGCTGATTTCAGCCAAAATCATTGGCTGAAGTTGGGTGCCAAACTTGTGCTGTGTCCAGTCACAGCCCAAACCCAGAAGAATGCAAGTAATGTATATACAGTCATGGCCGAAAACTTGTTGGCACCCTTGATATTTCTCCAGGAAATCATGTATTTCTCACGAAACGTATTGCATTAACACATGTTTTGCTATACACATGTTTATTCCCTTTGTGTGTATTGGGACAAAACAAAAAAAGGGGAGGAAAGAAAGCAAATTCGACATAATGTCACACAAACCTCCAAAAATGGGCTGGACAAAAGTATTGGCACCCTTTCACAACTGCGGATAAATAAGAATGTTACAAGCATGTGATGCTCCTGTAAACTCACCTGGGGCAAGTAACAGGTGTGGGCAATATAGAAATCACACCTGAAAGCAGATAAAAAGGAGAGACGTTCACTTAACCTTTGCATTGTGTGTCTGTCTGTGCCACACTAAGCATGGACAACAGAAAGAGGAGACGAGAACTGTCTGAGGACCTGAGAACCAAAATTGTGGCAAAATATCAACAATCTCAAGGTTACAAGTCCATCTCCAGAGAACTAGATTTGCCTTTGTCCACAGTGCGCAACATTATCAAGAAGTTTGCAACCCATGGCACTGTAGCTAATCTCCCTGGTCGTGGACGGATGAGGAAAATTGATGAAAGATTGCAACGCAGAATAGTCCGGATGGTGGATAAGCAGCCCCAAACATGTTCCAAAGACATTCAAGCTGTCCTGCAGGCTCAGGGAGCATCAGTGTCAGCGCGAACTATCCGTCGACATTTAAATGAAATGAAACGCTATGGCAGGAGACCCAGGAGGACCCCACTGCTGACACAGAGACATAAAAAAGCAAGACTACAGTTTGCCAAAATGTACTTGAGTAAGCCAAAGCCTTCTGGGAAAACGTCTTGTGGACAGATGAGACCAAGATAGAGCTTTTCGGTAAAGCACATCATTCTACTGTTTACCGAAAACGGAATGAGGCCTACAAAGAACAAAACACAGTACCTACGGTAAAATATGGTGGAGGTTCAATGATGTTTTGGGGTTGTTTTGCTGCCTCTGGCACTGGGTGCCTTGACTGTGTGCAAGGCATCATGAAATCTGAGGATTACCAAAGGATTTTTGGGTCGCACTGTAGGGCCCAGTGTCAGAAAGCTGGGTTTGCGTCCAAGATCCTGGGTCTTCCAGCAGGACAATGACCCCAAACATACGTCAAAAAGCACTCAGAAATGGATGGCAAAGAAGCGCTGGAGAGTTCTGAAGTGGCCAGCAATGAGCCCAGATCTAAATCCCATTGAACACCTGTGGAGAGATCTTAAAATTGCTGTTGGGAAAAGGTGTCCTTCCAATAAGAGAGACCTGGAGCTGTTTGCAAAGGAAGAGTGGTCCAAAATTCCGGGGTGAGAGGTGTCAGAAGCTTATTGATGGTTATAGGAAGCGACTGATTTCAGTTATGTTTTCCAAAGGGTGTGCAACCAAATATTAAGTTAAGGGTGCCAATACTTTTGTCCAGCCCATTTTTGGGGTTTTGTGTGACATTATGTCATATATTTGCTTTTCTGCCTCTGTTTTATATTTGTTCCAATACATACAAAGGGAATAAACATGTGTATAGCAAAACATGTGTTAATGCAATACCTTTTTTGTGTGAAATACTTGATTTTCAGGAAAAAATATCAAGGGTGCCAACAATTTCGGCCATGACTGTATGCATCACTGTGCCTCCTTGCCTTCTTGTCGCAATAAACTCTCTCTTTTTTCCCCCTCTGTTTGTTTC